GCAGGTCCCCTGATGGACATCACAGTCATTGCTGGGAAGTTAGATGTAGTGTACCTGCCACACTGGATCTGCATAGGTAAGTGGACATGAAGAAAATAATGAAAAATAAAATGTAGTAACTTTTTATTTTTGACAGCACGAGTACAAAAACTGATGCAATCATTTTCTCTTCACTTACTGTGCTTTTGTTTTGTGCAGATGACAATCCAACAATATTAGACAAGTTTGCAGTCCTACACATAGATGACTGTGGAGATGTCGTGGAAAAAGTGTCTGAGGTCACATCGTCCCATGTCAAGCTGTCTGACCCAGATTTCTCTCTATTAATGGTCCTGTTGGACTGGTTGGGCCTTCCAGTGGAAATATACTGTATGGTGTTAATATATAGCAAGATTCTCACAGCATCATCTCAAACATCCCTCACACTCCATGTTTACCTGATCCCATCTGATCTTGGTCTACAAGAGGTTATTTTATGTCTTACTGTCAACAATCCCAGTCATAATAAGATACAGAATGACACCATAAATTAATTGGTAAATACACAACACAGATAACAATGTTTTTGATTTGTTTTGTTTTTTCTACAGGAATTAGATTCAAGAGAAAAATCCTATGGATTCAAGGGAATCCGAAAGCCAAAACCAGAAAAGTCCCTCAAAATGCAAACTTGGTTCACCTTAACGACAGATCAGGATGGTGCAGAGATTTATCCTGAAGGCGAGAAACCCCAGGTGAAAACCTATTTTTTTCTGCACTGATCAATTTTGAGGTGTTTTATTTTGCTTCCATATCATGTCTTCTCTCAGAATATAGAGAGAAATTGTCCAAAATAATTGTTTAGATGTTTATTTTCGTTAAGATTTCTGTTCTAGAAATGTATTTATATATGTATTTTTATTTAATTAGATAGTGACTAATTTTCATATTAAGACTTAGTGTCTCAAAAAACTTGCAGGACAAAAAATAATTGTTTTAATGTAAGTAATCAACTGCAGCAGTTTCATGGTGATATCTAAATTTTTTACCCAGGTGTCTTATCTTTGGTCTTAAAATGTGTGGAATTTTACAATGTATAAATGCGTCTCATCTAATACTGTGGGCCAAAAATGTCCACTTAATTGGCACTTACATACACCAAAGTTTTATTACTGTCTATACTCTGATGGTTTTACTGAGGGGTTTATTCACTCATTACCTGATTTATGTAACATTTTAGTTCTAAAAAGATTCATGGCTGTCGACACTATATTCTGATTTATGGAGCGATAAACAGAAATATCCAAAATTCACTTTGTAAATATCTTTGACACTAATATGACAATAAATTAAACTGAGAATTTTCAGCTTGGCTTCATCCAGTGTTCAGATTTTTAAAATTTATGCAGATTTGTACATATTGAATTAGATGAGCCTCATTTGCATATCCATATATTAAATTTCAGAAAACTTGTAATATGAAAAATAATTGTCTTACTGTAAGTAATAAACTGGGTAAGTTTTGTGGTGATATCTATCAGCTATTTTTTTTACATTATCATAATGAACAGAATTTCTTTCAGTAATATCAGTTTTTTATTTTTGATTGCAGCCTGGGAACTGGGAAATCTGCCAGCTTATGATCAGCTGTTGATACAGGAAATGATAAACACATTCAAATATCTGCAGTCATGACCATGCCTGGCTCCATGTGGTCTTCCATTTTAGCCAGTCAGTTGAGCAATATTTGGCAATATACGTCAGATATATTGATTTTTCTGTCTCTGTCTCTGATGTCTTTGATGGAATTGAAAAAAACACCACAACTTAACCTCATATGACCAAAGAAAAAAAATCTCCTGGTGCACTTTGCTCAAAGTCTGACTTCTTATTTATTATTTTTTTCTTTCACAGACATTAATGCTCAGATATAACAGCACAGGCCCAAACTTCTATGAAGTGGTCGTTCAAAATCCAGACAAAGACTTTAAGCTCATGCTCACACCAGAAAATGGGCATCAACCAGTTTGGACCTGTAAAATTCGAAAAGGTCAGTTTTAAACAATACCACAAGAACTTATCCACTCTGTCTGTGTACCACTTTGATTTTATTAAATATCATTAGTGTAGCAGATGTGTGATGTTAGATAAAGGCAGTAAATCAGTTACATGTCCATGTTTTTTTGTTTTTTTCTCAGGTGAATGGCAAAGCACTGGCCATATACAAGGTGAGTCATTTAAAATAATTTGTGTTAAAAGAGTCATTCTTATACACTGTCTTTCTGCCTGTTCGCTGTGCTGCTCCAAGACAAACACACGTCTTCAAAAAAAGCTAATGCAGGACCAACTCAGTGTTTTCTATCAGTACTACTGTTAGAATAAAAAAGCAGTGCTTCCAAAAATAAGGTCGGGGGTCAGGAAAAAAAATCTGTTAAGTACATATTAATTAATTTTGAAACTATAGCTTGGTGTTAAGCTAAAACAACATGCCTTAGTTCACTGTAGAAGCTCATCTGAAATCTAGTCTTGTCAGACATTAATCAAAGGAGTGACTGAGAAACAGCCAGGTGTTAAGGTTAAGGGCAAATTAATAAAACGTAACATTAATACAAGTGTTATACATCATCAGAGGAAACATTAAACGTACCTAGATGAACATTAACAACCCAGCCTGGCATGGACCGAGGTACACCAGGGCAAACATGTTCAGTAACATTAAAAATTACAATTGAGCATAGTCTAATGCTGCAGGCACGTTAACTACACGCATGCCCGCACATACTGGTAACTGCACTGCTGTTGACCGAGAAAGGGCTGAATGAGCAGCCACGTACGTGTTGTTACTAACTTACTTGGCTTATACAGAAAGTGGTGCAGGTTTCTGGGTTGAGGATGAAGGCTGATCTTGAGCTGCATTCTCTGATGTCTATTTGTGACAAACTGAAGCAAACTGCTTCGTTTTGCCATGTTTTTTTTTAACCTAGAAAGAAGCAGCTAGCTAGCTGAAAGAAGGCTTCTGTTCCTCTGTTCACTTTCAGCTGAATGCATCAGTGGTTGCTTGTATTCACTTATGTAAATGGTTGGCGTAGATAATAAACACAGATGGCCATGTATTTAAAATTGATTTGAGTAAAACTGAAGGGTTTTAAGAGGACACCTACATGTTCTGTTTGTGTTTTCAACAGCTGTCGACACTTAGAGCAACCATGACACATTTGGTCAGAGTTCACATGGTTACTGGTTAAACTGGTACACCAGGATTTCCACTGAGTGAAAGTGGGGCTGCTCACATTATGGCATTTATAAACTGCACTCCCACTCAAAAATCTGACCTGATCATCATATTGTAAACAAGAAGACAGAAATAACAATTGTTTTATTTTTGGCTAGACCTCAGAATGTAGGCCTATCTGTGAGTGACTGAGTGACTGAGTGTGTCTTGCGTATGATTTATCCTGGCCTTATATAATCGGAGGAAAACTATGCTAGCCGCTCAGATAATTTCTGCAGTGGGAAATGTTATAGGCTTATGCTAATAACATTAGCATGTTGTATCGTGTCTAGTTTAAGACAGTTGTTTTTATAGGGAACCCTCTGAGTTATAATGGAGCTGGATGTTGTAATGTTCCCTTTGTTAAATGTTGGCGTTGTTCCAGGCTTCATGTGAACGGAGGAAAAGACCGCTAGATGTCAGCCTAATTTGTGCAATGCATGTCTTGTGTTGTGGTAAATCGAGCAAAAAGCAGCTTGTCCAGAGGTTAACGTTACAGCTCCAGAGAGTCCATGTCCTGTCTGCTGTGTGAGTGTGTCTGATTGTATTGTTCTTCATTTTAAGATATGTATTAATTTTTTGCCTGGACTGCAACAGCAAGTCCAAGTGAATGTTGCCACCTCCTGTTTCAAATAAAAAGCCATCGTTTGAAATTGAAAGCCCTCGAATGTTTCATACACGGTCCAGCCATATACTAGGTTTTGACCTAGAATTATTTATTAAGAAAGCACATTTTAGCAGCAAAAAACCGCCATTAAAGAGCAAGAGAATGAAAAATAAAAACAAGACTAAGACAGGTTTAAAATACGAGAATAGAAGTTACAGTGCAGTGTAAGAAATTCATATTTATTTGATTTAATAAAGGGCAGCAACAAACAGAAAAGTCCTCATCCTTAAATTAAAAGAACTTAGAGCTGCAAACAGCCTTCTGGCTAGGCCCACCCACAGCTACGTGGCTGCATCACACAACTCACTAAAGAGAGGACACATCACACTATTTGAGTTACACTTGTGACTGTCAGAGTGGTTGTTCTTCGCTCACGAAAGATCTTTGACTGAGTACAAACACCAAGACACAAACCTGTGAAGTTTCATTTTGGCTTTTCATCAAGTCACTCACAGAATTAATCAGCAAAATGAAAACGACCTGCTGCCAGCAACGTTGGTCATTATGTGATAAATCTCTTTGTATAGTTTATCTTTATGAATCAAGAATCTGATGCAAAATAGTTATGGTCAGATTTTAAATCAGTCACTCATGTAACATTTTTTCTTTCCTTTCTCCTCAGAGAAACACTCAGTGGACAAACACCAGGTGAGTGATCTCACATGCCTTAAATTTGATGGTTCTCTCACAACTGATGCTGCAGTCAGTGAGCTTCTCAGCAATAATATTATCCACCAATACATAATGTTATAGTTAAATGACATAGTTAAATCATATCCATTTATTTATTCACTTTGAATTTATCAGGAAGCAGCAATCACAGTGGCAGGAGAGAAGCTTCTGAATATGCTGAAAGAGTTGAAAAGTGAAGAGTTCAAAGAATTCAAGTGGCGCCTCCCACGCATCACAGAGAGCCAACGGGAGAACACTGACAGGGTAGACCTGGTGAAATTCATGCTGCAGACCTACAGCCAAGAGTCTGTGGAGGTGGCCAAAGAGGTTTTAAAGAAAATTCCCAGGAATGATCTGGTGCAGCTGTTGTCAGACACCAGCTCAGGGTCAGAAGGTAAGTTGTGGAACAAAAACAGCAGTAGCATATTCAGGGGCACCATCTTATACTTAAACTATAAATCAGAAACTTTGTATGCAGGGTAGCTCTTCATTGAAAATACATGTTGACAGTCATGTAGCTTTTGAATTTACATATTGTGAGTACAGGTCATGATTGTATTATGTAGATGAAGTTATCATGGGCAAAACTAATGTTTGCTGTAGTCCTCACAGTGAGTGAGTGACTTAGTTAAAGATGTTGTCTATAGTAACAGTTCAATCAGGAGAGACAGGTGAATAAAGTTAAGATAATTGTGTATTACAGATTACAGGTGTACAGATTAACAGATGATATGTGATGATTAAGATTTGACAGAAAAGTCTTTGGTGCTTAGACTCTACAGGAAGATTTTGTAATCGAGGGGCGTTCGCCCTGAGCAGCAGCAAGATGAATCCCCCGTGGTGTCAGCTGGTGACTCTAAGACTGATAGGCTCATGAAGCTCATGTAGCTGTGCAGACTAGGCGGTGACAGAGATGGAGGGTAGAGTTGTCCCGATACTGATACTAGCATTGGAAGTGCCTCTGATACTGCTTAACATGCTGGATCAGGTATTTGTGAGTGCACAGGTCTATGCATCTATCCAAAACAATGTAATTTGTTAATAAACTTTAAAGGTCCAGTGTGTAAGATTTAGGAGGATTTAGTGGCATCTAGCTGTGAGGATTGTAGATTCCAACCAGCTGAAACTTCTCCTAGTTAAAATTCCTTCAGTGTTTATTGTTCAGGAGGTTTTTGGTGGGAGTCAAATTATCTGCAGAGGTCTCTTCTTCTAAAGAACAAACAGACCAGGTGATTCAAACTGATAAAACACTGAATAAAGCAGGTTTATATCACAAATCATTGTTTCTCCAAATCTGTTTGGCATGTCACAGATAGCCCGTTTGCCAAGCACCTGCCTATGTGTGCTTACCTTTTTTCTGATCCAGACATTCAGGATTGTATGAGATACTTATCCATAGTCAGTGTATTACCTACAGTAGACAGCGGTTGACACACCCCAGTTTGGAGAAGCAGGCTGGAGTGCAACACACATACTAAGGAAAATGTATTTTAGCCACCTAAAAAAAATCTGTATAACTTTAAGTGTACAATACTCTTTTTGCTTTATTTTGGCATAAGACAGATATTTCCGACAGGAACTGAAGCTGTTATATTTCATCAGTTCCCCTTTCCCTCTCATGAAAGTCACCAGACTCCATTAAGAAAAACAGTGATTTAACATCGCTGAACAAAGGAGCTGCTGGTCTACTGATGCCTCAATCATTTAGTTTGTTTATGCTGTTGTGTGACTCTGGTGTTTTAAATGGTAAGTTTGGACTCACTAAAGTTACACAATAACCCAAACTAACTAACTTATCGAGGCAGCAGTAGATCAGCAGCTCCTGTGTTCACTGAGCTTAAGTTACTGTTTTTCTAAGTGGAGTCTGGTGGCTTTGACGAGAGCATTGATGTGAAACTGAAGCCATTGGCGTTGGAAAGGACTCTCTGTGGTGAAAATATTCTCAATATAGCGTATACTTGAACTGTTATTTATTTTTTAGTTGGGGTTTTTATTAGGTAGCTAAAATGCATTTTGCTGCTGCCCCTCTCTATAGCAGTATAATGCTTAGCTTCAGCGGCGGTGTTCTTGATAAGATAAGATAAATCTTTATTGTCATTGTACAGTCATACTTGTGTACCACAGCACAATGAGATAAACAAAAATATATATTATTAACAGTAGAAAAATATGTACAGATATACAGTGAAGCGTTATTGGCTGATTCTCCAAACTGGGGGCATCGACTGCCATTGACTGTTTGTAATACACTGACAGTGGATCAGTACCTCATACAGCCCCACCTCAAAAAAAAAATCCAAACTATCCCTCTAACAGATACTGTTGATGAAGGCAGCAATGATTCATCTTCCATGCCTGAAAAGGCCTTTACCTGTGTGCCTACATGTTGTGGTTTATTAGAAACAAAGCAAACATGGTTGCTTTTACCCTAATTTAATTTTCATTAAATGTGTTGCAGCTGCAGGATCATCAGCTTGAGCATCTGGTGTGAACACCACAGAGGGAGGTATGTGCCCAAACCATGATAACATGTTACATAAACATCATACTGTGGCTTTAAAGTCATTTTCTTCACTGCATGAGTCAATGTGAGAACGTTAAATGTTTTATTAGCACATGTTGCCATGTTGATAAGTCTTAATTAGATAAAATCACTGATTGTTTTTTAGCAGTGTGAGTGGCTCCAGGTGTGGCAGTTACAGCCGGTTGGTTCACCCTCTTGGATCGCCATTTAAAACTTTTGTACAGATTTTCATGGTGTCCAGAGGATGACTCATCTCTTTGGTGATCATCAGACTTTGCCTCTAGCGCCACCCTGAGGTTGGCATTTTGTGTTTGTTTTTGGATGGATGCTCCCCTCAGGCTGGATTGTGATCACTTTGGTGATCCCTCAACTTTTCCTGTCGCACGATCATCTGGTTTAAAAATGATTATTGTCCAGTACTTAAGTTGATGACCAAATGCCATGGATGTCTAATTAGATCTGGATACTGGACCCCAAGACGGCGCCTTTTCAGTCCAGTGAGAACATAGATGTATAAAGCATTGGAAATGGGACCTCATTCAGTCTTATGAAAGTTTCTTATTGGCACATGAAGCCACTAAGCATGAAGAACAAATGCACTAGAGACTTCCATCAGCTGAGCTGGCTACTTGTGGTTCAGCACTCTTTTAACTTGAATGAGGATAAAATTATTTAATCTTGCAGCTCTTCTACACTTTCCCGATGTTATCAGACCCTGATACTAAAATGAGTCATTTTGTGGGCGTTGTGTCGCTTAAAAAAATGTACCCACTGATTTACAGATGTGCTTTCCCAATGTATGTCTATGGGAAAAAACCTATTTGGGCCCAATGGCATCACGTCACGGATCTGTACATTGTAATTTCACTGTTTGGCCGCTACTTAAATTGACATAAATGCCAAGCACGCTTCCTAGAATGCTAAACTAAGATGGTGATCATGGCAAACATTATATCTTTTTATCATTATCATGTCAACATACAGCCTCACAGAGTCTCTAGCATGACTGTAGACTTCAATTTTTTTTACAAGGAAAGGCTTAAATTATATTTTATTTAAAGCAACTGATTATGAGCTGATGTCAACGATTGTTAAATTTCCTTTCTTCAGAGAAACTCTGTGGATGAACATCTGTCTGCACTGATCCAGAAAGTGAGCAGAGACACATCGTCTGACTCTACACAACATTTAATACATGCTGGCTGGAATTCATTCTCACCTTGAACTGATAAATTATGACACAAACCAAAATTGACATCATGATAAACCTGTCGCAGAAATGAGGCTGTATTAATCTCTGCAGCAACAGTGATTTCTTCAGTAATGTAAGGATATTGTGATCTCTAGAATCGAGGAGCACAAGAGGAAACATGAGTTTTTTATTCTTTTCAGTCAAACTGATTTTTCCAAAGTTTTTAACAGAGAAGAGTAAAATGATTGTAAATATTTTTAAGGATGAAAATCTTAAAATTCCATTTGTATGTGTTTTAATATTTACTGTATATATTTTCTCAAATCATTTTTATGTCTTAAAGCACTTTGCAATTGCAATTAGAAATTGTGATACTGTAACAATAAATATGTATTAAAAACATAAAACAGGTACGACCATTCATTGCACATACTGAGGATGAATGTTTGAATGTTTTGTTTGGAACTTTATGTTTCACTACAGCTTTGTTAACGTGGTTAGGTGTAGGCACAAAAAACTCTCAGTTATGGATAGGAGAAGATCATGTTTTGGTTGAAAATACCCACTCTTATACAACCTGGTCCCCTTTTATAAGATACGCAGGAACTCTATCAAGACAGTCCTTTGCAACTCTCAAGATGGCCGACAGAGCCAATCCTACTATAATGGGAGACGCTTGTAGGTAAGTAAAATCTGTTAACATCAAGTAATAAGAGTAAGACATACAATTAAAATATTCAAATATTGATTTTATGATGGGAATAAATTACAATTAATCATCTGTCCACTAAACTGGACGTCATGCATACTGTCCGTGCAGGACATGACGGCAAAGACGTCTTCTACAAAGTCCTTGAGGAGAAGGAGACATATCTTGTTGCTGATCTCAAGAGGAAGGAGTCATAAATACTGTGATCAGGGTAAATTTGCTCTTGTGACCAAACACATTGGCTAACTGAGCAAAACCATTTTATAGCCTGCATTTGTAAAAAAAAAAAAAATTCATCCTGGTGCCATATCCATCTAATCTTTTATCTTTTTTTCTTTAGCATGTTTTTTTTTCCATGCAATGGCAATGGTTGGGGCCGGGCAATTTTAGGCAAAATTAGGCAGTTCTGAGCAGCACACACACTAAAACAAAGCATATCACAACATAGAAGTTACATCATATAATTATGGCATGCCCTTCAAATTGTGGATGAGTGGCTGAAGTGATCAGACTCATAATATACAAAGGAAAGAAAAAACTCAAGAACAAGAAAGTAAGAATAACATTAACTGCTAGCAATAATGAACAAACTGGTCTGATCTAGCTTAAAGCTAAACATTATCCATGGTGACAAAAATGAAAACATTTTTTAAAATGTAAAAGTAGCTATTGGATAGACTCTGCATATTGCCTGATAGGTAAGCCAAATAAACAGGGAAAAGAGACAACGGATAACAGGGAAAAGTGTTGATAAAGAGTTTTTGTCTCTCCACGAAACTGCCTGGATCATAATTATTTTAACCTTAGCAGTCTCTAATTCACATAGCTTGATGCCTGAACATAGGACTTTCACATCAGAATGTCCTTTCTGCTTTAGCTGAAGCTTGAACTCACAACTTCTGAGACTGAGGTCCGTCTTCTATCTCACTGAGCTAATTGGCAGGTGACAGTTCATGTGTGGCTTCACAAATTGACTAAGCCAAGCAACAGGGTGCCAGACAGTAGCCATCCATGCCATGTTTTTGCAGCTGAGGCAATCTGGCACGGGACTGGACCTTTGTGCAAAGTTTGGTGATTTTTCGCACATGGGAAGTAGGATTTCCTCGGAAGAAGAAGAAGAGGAAGAAGAAGAAGAAGATGGTGCAGGATAACAATAGGGTCCTGGCAGCTTAGGCTGTGAGCTGGACAGCTAAACAGGGAGCTGAAGCTCACCGTAAAGCTCTGTAAAGATAAAGAGAGCTGCAGATTCAGGTCATAATTCTCTGTAGGTTCATCACTACCAGACACCTTATATTGTGCGTCCCTTATCTACAGCTAGGCCAACACCGAAGAAACACCATATGAGAAGAAACTTGTAGGCCGAAAATATTTTTGAGCATTTTGGATTTTGTTATAATTACACATGAACATTGAGAAAGAAATTCAATAAAACAATTTGGTGGGAAACATTTATCATTAAATTGCGGATGATTCTGTCCTGAGTTTATGATAGGAGCTGGAGTCTGGACATGACCCTGCAGCAGATTACTTTGTTGATGAAGCTAACATTTATTTTAGCCCTATAGCTGTCATACAGACAGTACAATAATATAAATGATGATAAAACTGACCTCTCCTGTGTTGGCTGTCAGTGGTAGGTTCTCGTGAATTTTGTGTGCCTAAACTCGAACTGCCTTTCGAAACATTTATTAAAACAACATATTTTTCAGTATTTTTAAGGAACACAAACTCTGCAATCCATCCACTGGTAGCTAACTACAAAGAGCCTCTACAATTAAAAATGCTGAGTTTTTTTATGGCTTTTTAAAAAACATGAAGGTTAAGATCATACAGTTGTGTAGCAGTATCATAAGAGGCCCATGACAAAGCTGAAGCTAACAAGATAATGGTTTTAGTCGACACAACTATTGACGAGGAGGCGAGGTGGATGAACATTATAAATCCCCCACAGATCTCACTACATGCCCGTCACCTGTGTGTTCTTGACACCCTGGACCTTTTTCTTCTTCCTCTTCTTCTTCTTCTTCTGCTCCTTCTTGTCGCGTGTCTCTGCAGTTGTGTTGTGTTACCGCCCTCTGTCGTCCGTCTGGCAGCACTGACCCCAACCGCCGAGGAGACGGAGAGGAGGACACCACGGGACAATAGGCTCTTTCGAGATGAATTGCGCCTCGCCTGAAAAGTAGACGAGAGCAGGCGGCCGCAGCGGGGGGCGGTGACAAAAAGCTGCGGTGAAGTCGGACAGTTTCCCCGACAGTTTCCAGCAGCCTTCAGTCCGTGCAGGAAGTCACAGATACACTAACATCCTGTCTGGAATGATGTCAATTCATTAAAAAAGTGATGAGACCCATATATCAGTTTGTTTTCACCATCAGTCACACAACATGTTTTCTGTTCACAGAATAAACCTTCAGGTCAGACAAATACAATCTTAATCTCTAAAATACAACAAAAATGAGTAGTTTATCTAAAACGTCATATTGTTGAGTCGGCATCTGAACCAATCAGCTGTTAGATCAGGTGAGAGCCAGGCGGTGCAGTCGGTGGAGAGCAACTGCAGCGCCTGGCTCTAAAAACTGCGCGGCCGCCTCGCTCTCGCGGCTTTATCGCCAAACCGGCATGCATTGTGCGCCGATCGCCGGCGATCGAATCTGCGCAGGGCTGGCTCATCTCGAACGAACCTAAACCTCTCACCCAAACACCACTGTTTTAAACAAGTTACACTTTTAATGCTTTATTGCAATTTTAAAATTTTATTACACCCGAATAAAAATACAAGATTTAATTGCTGATTTATGCTTGGGTGCTGTTCTGCATTATTATTGTTTGCTGGTTGTTTTGTATGGTTTGATCCAACTATTTTAGTTCTTTATTTCTTAATATTCATCAGACTGCTCTGACTGGCACGCCAAAAACTTGCACTGCATTGATCAAACACGCTACAACATATAATAGGAAATGTCTGGTCTTGGGTGTTTGTTGTGGGAATTTGAATCAAAGGCTGTGAAATACTGAAATGGTTTGAAATGTTTTATTGTGTGCAGTGGCTACATCACACATCAGGGAGATCTGCAGAGAAAAAAAAAGGAATCAAGCATATCACAATACTGAAAACAGAAACACTTAAAAAAATTAAATACCTATCACAGTCTACACTGAAATACTGAAGATTCTGGAGCATAGCAAATACATTATTATATCGACATATTAACAACATTACCTACGATTTGAATAGTGCCCCTTCCTTGTTGTGCATTTCTCCAGTTGGGGCAAGGTTTTCCCTTTATGGATTGTTATGTGCACCTTAAATAGATAGTGCCTAATTAGTCAAATGTCACGACCGAACAAGGACCTGAACCCAAATGCACGACTCGGGAGGCAAGGTACAAAATCAAAGTTTATTAACACAAACTGAAAATCACTCACGAGGGAGGAAAAACCTAAACTAAATCTAAGAACAAAAAGAGATCTAGAAAAAGCACTAGACTAAGAAAACAAACAAACAAAAAAAAAAATCACTCCAAAGAGGCTGAACTATCACTATGAAAAACAAACAGAAAATAAACATGAACAAAGTGACAAGACCTGACGATGGCAAGGCAAAATGGCACAGAGACGCTGCTGGTTCACTGACACGAAGGACAAGACGAACTGGCACAGGACAAAGGGAGACGCGGACAATATATACACACAGGGTAAGGGCACAGGTGGAAACAATCAGGGGCGGGGCAGACAATCAGACCGGCGGGAAACACACAGGGGAAGGAGCAAGTTGCCTGAAAGGAGAGGAGTTTTCCAAAAATAAAACAATAAAAAAAAAAAACAGGAAATCACGAGACAACATAGACTCAAGACAAACTGGTTAAATTAACACCGTTTCCTGGCTATGACATCAAAGTTAATATTTTTCAACCGTTTTACACACATAAACAAGGCCAAAACCCAATAATAGACAAAAATACATTTCTGATCTTCTGCGCCGGATGAGCTTAATTTCTGTCCACAAAATCTCTAAATATAGGCTATGCTATAGAGTAATATCAATGTAGTGATATAAACACACGTGATATATAATATTATGAATAATAAAGAAAAAACGTGTGTGTAGGTATATTACATGACATACATGAATACAAAATTAACTTTTAGCATAAAGTACACTAATTGCCAATATGTAAACAGTTTCATGCTTGTATGGAAATGTAAGCCTATACATGTTTTTCTCATATCATCTATTTCATTGCTTTAATTATTTTTTCATGTTTAATTTAAAGCACATGCTGAACTTATTTGTCATTGCGCTTCGGTTTCATGAAACAAAATGTGCAAGGTCAAACAACAAAATAGTTTGATGACATTAAACAAATAATGTGATTCACATTCAATACTCACACTCGGTTCGTAGTCTGCAACAATTATTCATGTGTTGGCTTCCAATGAAATAGAGAGCGCTGTCGCGAAATACAAGAGGTCTAAACCTGCGGGTCCAGATCTGCAGGTCTGAATCTGCAATCTCCAGGTCTGCAGACACACCCTCCTCGGAGCACCACGGGAAACGGCTCTCCAACGGGCGGAACTCGGGCGACACTTCGACCCCAAGTCCTGTCAACTCAACCAGACATGATTTACCGCTGTCATAACAACTGGACGGACTTTATCTCTGACAGCTGAAGCTACGAGCTGTTTTAAAACGGTT